ACGTTGAAACACCGGTTCCCGTACAATCACCGAAGTTAAGCAACGTCGTTCCTGGTCAGCAACTGGATGTGCGACCGCTTGGGAATACTAATTGTTGTAATCTTATATGTGAAGGTGGTGTAATGTATAATAGCATGGACATTTTAATCGGGGAGCCGAATTCCAATTCTCGTTGAGTTCCTTTTATTCATTCACGCACAAAAAACCTGGAGATAGCTACAAATCCGCCTGTTCTTCCCCACTTCGCTAGTCTGCCGTGGATTAATTAGCAAGACTTGCATTACTAAATCATTATTATCTTCAAGAATAAATTCTTACAATCTAAAAATATTTTCTGACTTTAAATAAACTGGGATGGATTGATAAGCCGTAGAAAATGAATCAATGTTGAGTCATTCAATGATAAAATTAAAGGATTTTGTGTGATTCCGTTCGTCTTTTCAAAGGTTTTCATCAGATTGAAGTAATGTTCTTATTGATAGAATTATATATATATCAAGTGTGTGGGAAAATATAAAAAAAAGTCTGTTATAATTAGGCACTGGAAGGAAACTAGGAAGATTTAATCTTAAAAATTTAACATCCCTGAAATTTGTAACATTTTCCTCTTGTTGCATATTTATAAGCGACATTTTCGTTCATATTTTCCCACTTACCCCTACACACACACACGCCCACACACACACACATATATATATAATTCCATCAATTCTGACGAAGTCCTTGTAAAGGACGAAATGCGTTACATAGAATTTTCTTGTAATTCAATTAATACATTGACGGCTATCTTTATATTTCTTATGGTGCTAGAGGGCTTAGATTTCACACCAATACTTGGATTAAGGTTTACTTAATACAGGGGATTCTTCTGATAGGTTAGGTTCTTTAAGTTACGATTTTTATATGTCAAGTTTTTCACTTACATTAGAAAAAAAGAACGGCGACTAATTTTGATCTATTCCAGAAAAAAAAAGTTTTAAATGCGCTTCAAAGATTTCGTGACACAAAAGTTTTTCAGTTTTCCTACGTGTGTCTGAAATATTTTATTCAAAGAGATGATCTCAATTTTCTTCATTACCTTGTAATTGAATAATGAATATCCGACGCTGATGGGGAAAGGCTTAATGGAAGATGAAGATGCAAAACAATGATTGATTGATTAAGAGAATCAGTCAAATCTCTACATACCTTCATATACATATATATATATATATATATATATATATATATATATATATATATATATATATATATATATGTATGTATGTGTGTGTGTGTGTGAGTATACGAAGAGTAATAAAAAGAGAAAACGGAACAGGATAATGTGTGTGTGTAGAAATATTAGAAGAAAGATAATTATATCTATATATACACACACACACACTAGTATGTGTGTGAGTTTTTCAGTTATATTCACATACATATTCACATGCAGACACGCACACATAGATGCACAAGCACACATACACACACGCCTGCAAGCATACATACACACGCATATATACTTCAATATATAGGTATGCTAAAATGTTATGTTATCGGAGCGTCCCACTTACGAAAATGTAAACAAATGGCCAAACATTTTTAAAAACTTTTCTTAGTCGGCCTGAGACCTTTTCAGCATCCACACTTATATATATATATATATATATATATATATATATATATATATATGTGTGTGTGTGTGTGTGTGTGTGTGTGTGTGTGCATATGTGTCTGTGTGGGTTAAAAAGATAGATATAGACTTGTGACTTATGCACATATATAATAAATACATTTTATACAGAGTACATACACACACGTGTTTATCTGTTTTATAGATTTGTATTAATGTATATATGTTTATAAACAGATATAAGTTATATATATATATATATATATATATATATATATATATATATATATATATATAAGAACTTATATGTGTTTTACACACACACACACACACACATATATATATATATATATATGTATAAGTATCTACATAAATACATGCGTGTAAGCGTATCAGGAATGCAACGCAAATGAGACGCTTGAACAATCCCGATAACGAAGCACTATTCAATACATGATACCTGCAGGCAAAATACCTTAGGCAAAAGCCAAGAGTAAATCTTCACTTCTATGATATACTGGAGCATCAATTAACATTTCTAGAAGCCACGAAATCTCGAACACTTTCAGCAAGCGAATAAAGGTGGCATGCGATTGTTTCTCCTTTTGTTAAACCAAAAGAAAAGAAAGAAATTGACAAAAACTTGTTTTTCTCTCTCCTCTGTCGGACAAGTTTTTATTTCAAGGCAAGCCCAGCGTACCCTTTTAAAAATAAATGATATAAAAAAGGGTAACCGTATAAAAATATGAATTAGCAGGTATTTTGATTTAGAAAAGCATACTCAGTATGTAGACAGTCCTTTTTCAACATTTGTTTCCATGTGTTTTAATAACTGAAGTGCACCCTTCCACTTCACTAAATTTTAAGAACCAGCCTCATTTTGAGATGAATAACATTTTTGCTGTTGCTATTTTCAGGTTTTACACGTTCTCTCAAGCGTAACGTTAAACAACATCTTTTCAGGACGTATAACATTTTAACTCCATGTCTCTGTAGGCGATCATGGCTCTCCACAAATTTTTTTTTCTTTATTATCTGAGAATTACTATGATTTCTTTTTCGAAATATACTAGAGCAGATTTTATTTGCCTCCTCTACGGTTTTTGAATTCAATGTCATTTTCCCCTTAGACTCAGTCAGTTAAGTGCCATACGTGATGCACACTTGGGCGGTCATGTATCTTTTAACATACGACTGACGAGGGAAATTTTTACCCGAAGTAGGTTGCCATTCTGTGTAGACTGGTTGCCAACCAAGGCTAAAAACCCCAGTCTGTCCTGCTATTCAACCCATAGCTGGAAGGAGAAGAGATGGATTCATACCTTTCCCACATACCTTTCCAAAGGGGATTTGTGCGTAATTGAATCTAGCGAACTCGACTGGAATTCGAACTTGACAATCCGAGCCGATATCTATTGCACCACAATGCCTTTAGACTTAGGTAGCCTAATCTTCTCTTCTGTTTAACACATTAGCTGGGGAAAAAGGAGGTCACAAATCCGCATTGCAGTTAATGGCAAACTTATTTTCAATGGCTCTACAGAATTATTCACAACAAGGTTGATGGAATAGTCCATACATACCTTTTCATCCCTCCGGAATAATACACTCAACCACAAAATTACCTATTAACCAATCAATACCCTAGTTCCAGGGAACTAGACTTTTCATTGGCTTAAACTGTAGCAAGTTCACGCAAAATATCTTTTCGCGCTAGCGGTTTGGAGCCGATTCCTACTTCCAGAACAAAATAAAAAGAAAGCGTTCAGATCGATTCAGGCAGTCAGAATTTCATCCTGGAGAAGTGCCAAACGAATCCACGCCAGTAAAAATCATAACCAGCTACATTTTTACCGGGCAAATTTCTCTGACTCAACACACGCAGCATTTCGCTCTACCAGGAACAATTTCTTACAATACTAAAAAGTGATAATAATTCACTACTAACAAGTATTCGTAAATATTCAACCAAAACAACTAAACAATCCAAGGTAAACATCTCTGGAGAATTTAGACAATTAAACTCCTACTTTATTCACACATACAAACTACACAAATTTCTGTATAAATATTTTCCACTTTCCTCTGTTTGACCAGTTCTTAAACACTTGAACAATTTTGAACTATAAATCAATAAGAAACCCGATTTATCAATGGTCAATTTCTTGCATTATCAAACTACAAGTTTTCAAATTGTGTATTAATTGTACATAAATGCATGTTTTATTGACATCTCATAATCGGTGTTTCTTAATCAATTGCCTTGTGATTGATTCGTTTTTGTATATCTCTATTCTATATTGTTGCGGATTAATATGGTGAACATGCCTGTAAACTAACCATCTTAATATAAAAAAACTTCTGGTAACAAATTCAAACTCGTAGCAATCCCAACAAGGTTACATAACCGTTTTTTAATTAAGAGTTGTCCTGCTCCTAGATTGGTTGCTAACCCCGGCTAGAGAACCCAGTCTGTCCTGCTATTTAAACATAATCTGGTGGGGGTGTGGGGGAGGTTGAAAAGATGGATTCATACTGTTTTCAGGGGTACTTGCGCGAAAAGAGCATGTAAAGAACTCGACCAGAATTCGAACACGGCTTGTCGATTTCGCTTTACGAGTCACTAAACGGAACACTAACCGCATCCCTACTGTAACAGTCAGTGGGTTAAATGCCACACGCGATACACACCTGGGCAATCATGTTTCTTTCGATTCATGACTAAGATTTTCCCGAAGTAGGCTGCTGTTTCTTTCTGCGGTAGGCAGGTTGCCAATCAAGGCTATAGGACCCAGTCAGTCCATGTGTTCAACATATAGCTGGAGGGGGATAAGACATAGAATTCATGCCTTTTCCAAGGGTATTTGTGCATCAGTGAATTAATGAACCCAACTGGAATTTGAACTAGGCTCTCCGATTTCTTATTCCAAGCCATTTTCATTACACCACACCGCACATCCTATTAATCCCGTAATAAGTCTGAATAGCTATGACGCACATTATAAACTCTGACAGGGGTTAGTAATATCATTCACTTGATTCGTACATGGCCTTAATTTTCGCTTTATTTAATTTTTAAATTAAATCTTATAGTGGCTGATAATTAGAAGAGATAATTTGAGAATACGATGTATTACGAATAAACATCAGATATATTCAATCAGTTCAATCATTCATGAATATTAATGTTTAAGTGTTAAGGATGCCGACCCTACGTCTCTACGGTCATCAAGAAAGTGTCTTGCATTGCTTTCCTTTAAACAATTTATCTTTACAAAGTTTAGACATGTCTGGCACAGGGCGGTTAAAAGGGCTTGCTTGAAAAATAGAATCAGTTGGCAGTTTTGAATACCATTTGAAACTGCGTATATTCTTTTTACCAGTATACCTTAATGCATTAACTCTCCATTCACTCCGTCCCATCGCCAGTCATCATTTATAAGTCGCGGCGATGAAAAAACTTTAAAATCGAGAATCAGGTTAATC